CTTCTTTTAGATGTTCCTGCCCTCCAAACATTTCCAACCATCATCTGTGTGGCAAAGTGACAGATACTGCTTGCAAGTGAGGTAAGATGAGAAGGAAATGTCTTTTCTCATGCTGGATATGTTTCAGTAAMCTCTGTAAACACAAAGTACACCACCTGTTCATGCACACAACTCTTTGCTGGCCTGTAGAATGAGGTTAGAAGGCCCAGACGCACTGTGTGAAAACAATAAGCGTCGATCATCGGGCTCATRCTGTATCTGTTTGCAGTGGCATCAACAGCAATGACCAGCTGAGCGTGAAGGACAGCGGTAAAGGGGACAGCGACTTCAATGACAGTGACTCTGATACCAGCGGCGAAGGCGGCAAGAAGAACTTCAGCACGTTCCAACCCAGGCTAAAAAGTGAGTTTTCTWCTTCACCACCTTGCTCCTAACATGAGAAGTTTATCTGGATGACACAAATAGTCAATGATTTTATCCTGTTTATAATGTTTTTGCCCATACGTGTGCATTTGATTTGTCTATAAAGTCAGCAAAACATGTTTTGCAGATGTTAAGCTAGGAGTTGGTGTGGTAGTATCTGAGCATAATTGTCAACACATAATCTGAAAAATAAACAATAAATTTAGGACTTTCAGAATAACTGTTAGTGTGAACCTTGTATGTCTGTTAGCAAAATATCCCAGGAACCATTTGACTTATCTTATTTAAACTTTCAGAGAGTAATATACAAAGTAAACAATTGCAGATAATCAACATTATTCAATACAAACAAACAAACAAACAAACAAACAAACAAACAAACAAACAAACAAACAAACAAACAAATAAACAAATAAATAAATAAATATTGAGAAAAAAATGGTGAGGCAATAGTCATCCTCAACACAATCTCTTAGCACCAGATCATAATATTGCATTAGACTGTAAATAATGTCATTTACAGTGTTTAACCAAAAATAATGTTTACAATTATATTCCTTTCTTAAAAGAGGTGATCTTAGTTTTAAACTCTGACATGAAAGGTAACAGACACTAAGCACTCATTCAAGAGATTCTAAGTCAATAAATTTTCTGTTTAATTTATTTTTCAGGTGTTGCAAACACCTCATCCAGGGACTGTCGAGGCAACTACTGTGATATCCCACCAAGCTACCTGTCCTCCAGAGACAACACATACACCATAGGCTTCTCCCCAGTGTCTGTCTTCAGCAACCCCCACRGCATTAAAAACGACTGCAGTTATGGCACAAATCAACACAAACCAAGAAGCAGCATGCAAACATTTTCCAGATCTGGGACTCTTCCTCCCTACTTCCCTCAGCAGCTGCGTGATGCCRGTGTCGGACTGGCTGCGGTCCAAAACCAAAGTCCTGATGTTGAAACTGTGGCGACAGAAATAGAAGTTGCAACCATCTTTTAAAAGTAAACCAAAAAGCTGGAAGCTGTAAATATGTAGGTGTTTGCATTGTGTGGTTAGCAGGTGTACAAATTTGTCAGKGAACATAATTATCACATAGATTCTTTTTTTATTTATGCTGCTTTATTTGATTTTTAATGATCTGTATTCTAGTGTGTTTTTCTAATAAAAGTCTTGACTGAAACAAAGAAAAGTCTTTTCACACTTTTTTTCTCCCCCAACATGATGATGTGGTTCAAATTAATGAAATATGACAATGATTCATTTTGAGTGAGGAATATTACATTTTGAGGATTTAATAAAAACACTGCTGCCACTGGTAACCCCCAGTCTTCATTTGTAAACATRTAGAACTCCTCCTCCTCTTTGAATCTACATGATCAAAACGTCAGTCAGTGCCGATCAGATGTGAAATCTGACGCTCCTCCATTACCTGAGAGACTCGCTTTGAAGAATCCAAGGTTGCTCAAATAAGTTTCTTGCATGCAAATGAGAGCAGAGTGRGTGCTCACATGGAAAATAAGGTAAAAGCTAATATTCTGACAAAAAATAAATAAAAAAGCACAGAGTGCTGTGATGTTATCACTTCACTCTTTAAAATAATTTATATCACTCTGTACAACACATAGCAAAGTATTATGTTTCCAGACAAATTCCTGCTCATCAGGGTCCTTTATGAATTTATGCATTTATTAAAAAAAATGAAAAACATTCTATAGCTACAAACAGATGTGTTTGTGTAATTTTTATTTTTATCACTTTTGCAGTGTTAAAACACCTGCTTTCCTCTCACGTTTCTTTTACAGACATTGTTTACGATACTAAGTTTGATCCATCCATGAAAAAGCAGGACAAGAGCAAACTGATTCTGGTGCTAAATGATTTATTGATGAGCCACTGATGAGTTTTAAATCCATAATCAACACTGCTGGTAAACAAAGCCTGAAGTCTGGACACCAGTTGTTCATTCAAACTGTGACACACAGATAATAACCCACTTTTTCTGCTAGTTATGAGGTTTGGAATTGTCATTCTATGAAAATCATATGAACAGTAAATATCTTGCCTGTTGTAGATAGTTGTAGATAGCTTTTTGCCTAAGCAAAGCTAAGACTAAAGTTGATTTCAGCCATCATAAAACAACTCCATTGTCAGAAATGTCTTAGTAGTTCATTCAAACTGTTGCAGCTTGAA